ATAAATATTTTAAAATCAGAAGAAAATGAATGAAGATAAATCAAAATTAAGTACAGTAACAATTAAAATTTTTGAGTATCTACTTTTTGTATCATGGGATGTCCTGAGACATGTTTTAGTCTATTCAATATTGTAGGTCATAAAAGAAGGACACATGCCTATGACTGATGGAACTTTCAAAACCTTGCCCCTGGTGCTTTCTGACAAACCCACTGCTATTTGAATAAAAAGTGTACAGAAAAAGCTAAATAAACGTATGCATATAGGAACTTTTGAAGATGAATTTTCATATAACTGTACAAACTTACTTCACTAGGTAACATGAAAGAATCAATTACATACAAAGCTTTGAGATGAATTCAAAATGAATCATTTTCATATTATAATTTTACTAAACTTCTCTTTAATTAATTACAACTCTCATGAGGAGATAACCTTTGCCTTGCCACAGCATCTTAAAAATTTATTTCTGAAACTGCACTCATCTTACATTCTCATCTTGAATGAGAAAGATTAGACTAGAAATAAAAGGATTGAATTAATTAGTCAACAATGATTAATTAGACATTGATTGAAAGTGAGATTTTAATTCTTTTCATTTCCTTGGCTTGATACCATAGTTTGTTTATATAATGAAAATAATGTCTTCTTTGAAGCTATGAAGACTTTAAGATTCTGGCACTTCAATACATTTATTCAGATAATTGTTGGCACTGACAGGAGGCCCTGCATAATTTTGGTAGATATTTTAAAAAATAAAATTATAGCATATTGCCTATCTAAAATATATTTGAAGAGGTTTAAGTATCCAAAGTAAATTATCTGTTATGTCTCTTTTAAATATGTAAGTTAGATAACTATCAGTAATGAGTTAAAAGTATTTTTTCTGGGCAGGCATTGATGGCACATACCTTTAATCCCAGCACTCGGGAGGCAGAGGCAGGCAGATCACTGTGAGTTCGAGGCCAGCCTGGTCTCCAGAGTGAGTGACAGGATAGGCTCCAAAGCTACACAGAGAAACCCTGTCTTGAAAAACCAAAAAAAA